CCAAGAACCGCCGAACGCGCCAATTTGGCTCTTACGCTTTTCTCCGATTAATAAAACGTTATTTTGATATTATTTGCATTATTTGGGGTTGTATATATATCTATATTTTTTTATATTCTGTATTGTACAATACGAAAAAAAATTAATGAATATGATAATCGCAGTTTGACGTTCTACTTGCTATGGTAAACAGTGCCATGGTGAAATTAGAAAGCATTGCACATAATGGGGTAAGGATGGGGCGAATTTCGATTAATCAAATGCTATGCATTGCATGGCATTTCAAGATTATGTTGGTCATGACAGAAATGTGTGTGTGACAGAAGTTGAGAATGAGCACGAGTCGCTCACAGGCATGCCGCTAATTTTAAAACAGATTTATGCGATATGAAGTGAAAAGATCACGTTTTAATTAAATAAATTGTTAAATAAATAATTTAGTAAATTATTACGTTTGAAAATGACATTTCGCCACATGATTATTTTTCGCATCGCCGATCGCGTCTGATTGGCCAAGCCGCAACTATTTTACTGTTTACTGCACATCCTTCGGAATGCTTCATCTTTCTGACTCCATGAACAATACTACGAAGAGAAAAATAAAATAGAAAATATGTTGGAATCATAGATATACACTGTATACGATACAGATGATTAACTCACACTGAGAAATATTAATATACAATTATTTCAGTATTAAAATCACTAGATTTATAAAGTACCGTAAACTCGCATCCATTTTGACGCTTAACGCGGCCACTTCAAATTTATGCATTTGTATATACGTACTTTATTTAGGGAAATTAAGCCGTCAAGTATGTAAATTAATGTTTTTGAATTTTAGTCTAGTTTATTTATGATCAAAAGAATATGTATGAATGCTTAATTTATGTGTTCTTTAGTTTAATACGGGTTTATCTGTTGTAGAAGTTTAGTCCATGAAAGTGTATGAAGGGACATGTAAGTACAGTTTAAAAAATGAACCACCATGCTTGGAATCGTGTACTATGTGCACTTCGGTCATTTTGACGCTTCAGTTCTGAAATCAATTGTAGTACTTTATAGATCTAGCGACTTTATTCAGAATATACATGAAGCGCCAAGATTTTTGGTGGTTTACAGTAAAAATAAAAATAAACTGTAAATATGAGTGGAATTAATTAATTTTTTTTGTAAATCAAACTTCTAAAATGAAAAGTCAAGGAAAATTGTTAATCAATACGGAAATCATAAAAGTTATAGCAATTTTTAATATCAGCAGAGCCAAATCGGCGGTTTTAGTGTTAAATCGCAATTATTATAAGTCAAAATATTGCTATTATTATTAGTCTTAATTACATATTATTAATTATGTAAGTTATAATGATTACAATTATGTACTAACCTATGCATAAATCTAATTATATAGATTTTAAAGAAGTAGAAAATATATATTTATTAATGCTGCTTAAGATTTTGTTTAATATTTCCCGATTATATATCTTACACATTTTTAATAGATATCAAAATATAGCAAGGATAAAAGAATATTGAAGAATATCAGAATTGAGTAACATTGTCCGACAAAATTTGATCTTTTTTTTTGTCGCACTAGCATGAATAATAATTTCCGACGTATTTTTGCTTGTTGAATACATTGATGCACATTGGGATCCGAGCACGCCGCGTTCTGCAAAATTCGGCTCAGCGCGATATACGCCCATCTTTCTCGCGTTTGACAACTTTCGACTGCGTCGAGCGCGAGCGAGACAGAGAGATACATCCGTCCTTCTCGCTGGTCGCTTATTTCTCGCTATTATCTCTCTGTCTCGCTCGCGCTTGATGTGGCCGAAAGTTGCCGAACACAAGGACGTATATCGCTGTCGCGCTGAGCCGAATTTTGTCGAACGCGGCGTGCTCGGACTCGGACTCTCCAACGTATATCATTAGCTGAACATGAATCTGTCGGTGAAAGTTGGCTATTGCGTCAACATTTTGAAAAATAATATCCAAGGTGTCAGAAACTATTATTTTGAGTTTCCAAGACGTTACAACATCGGTAACTAATTTATTGGAAAAAGTTATATTTTGTTTTGTAAAATTACATAAATTTTATTTTAAATATTTTATTGGTGCTTAATGTATTCATTTTAATATTATTACTAATTTTGCAAAAAAAAACTTGGTTACATATATTTTATCATATATATAATAAAAATATACTTAATCCTCAGCTACGACTATGAAAAGAACTAAATTTTAAAGTGTCCTGTTTAAAACGTAGAATGCAAGTGAATCTTACGACGATTAATAAAGGAAAGTTCAATTTTTTTTACTTTAAAGTCTAGTACGGGAGACTGGAAACAAAAGGGTAACATGGATGTGTAAGTTATAACACCTACATAAAAAAAACCTTGTAAACAAAATACAAAAGTGTAAGAGATAGAAGTTTATACTTATTTATATTACAAATTTCTATCTCTTTCATACGCTTGTGTATTTTGTTTATTTTTTATATAGGTTTACAACTTATTCGTGTTTTAACTATAAACTTCAGTCTCCCCTATCAATTGGATTATACAGTTATCAAAAAAATTTTGCATCGGGTTCAAATAATCCATTGCTGTAGTTAAGGCCTTAACAGCGCCTTAACAGAAGATATCTTCTTGAAAACCTCCAAAACCTGGCCACCAATAACAGAGAAGTCCCTTCTCCCAGTCAAGGGGGGCAGAGCTATATTTCTGCCCCGAGACTGCGGAAAAAGGACACGTACAATGTCCACCACAGTCTCCGGGGGGAGTCTCCACCACCGGAGAGCCAGCCGTGAGCCTGCCCATAACGGCTCTTGTAGGGCATAATACAGTGACCTTTCGAAAATAGAGATGTAGGATATAATACAGTGACCTTTCGAAAGTAGAGATGTCAAGCTTTAAAACTCTTTTTAAATTCAAATTTCATTCATTTTTAACGAAGTTACAGCTGTCTGAATTTTGTCTATTTTTTACAAAAGATAAAGTGTTCCTCTAATTTTTGTGAGTAGTGTATATTGAATTAATGTATTAATTCAATTTCAATGTTATTAATTTTATTATCAAAATTAATCGTTAGCGATCTTAAATTTTTTTAATAAAAAATTCTAGGATTTAACGATTATAAATAATTTAATGAAATAGAACTATATATTAAGATATTGTATGCCCGTCTCTCTCTCTCTTCCCCCCCCCCTCTCTCTTTCTCCTCATAATATAAGGTACCTGAGCCGAATAAGGCCCACTTTTAAATTTATTACTTTAATACTCGCTTTACGCCTGAAGTATATGCTTAAAAGATGTCCTATAGGCAGTAGATAAGAAAGAATTGGAATTGGAATCGGTAGCAACACGTTCGTTTAATACAACAAAAACTTATGTGTATGAGGCTAGTACGAGCCATTTTTATAACAATTTGCTGCAAAATTTACGGTATACAATGTTCCATAACTTATTATAATTCATTATATTATTTTTCCTAACTATGGAAAATTAAAATAAATCAGTTTTTTTAAATAACTATAAGTATTTTTTTAAACATTGTACTTATTAAATAAGGCCCACTTATGTGATTATTGTTATAGCTATTATTATTTGTTTGTTATGTGTGGAGTTTATGCCAAAAAATAACGATTTTCAATGCTGTTATCTTTTAAGAAGCCAAAATTGCATTCAAATTGCTAGAAATTTCCAAAGATTAAAAAGTTAATTACAAACAAAATTAAAGATAATTGTAATATTTGAGAGTAGAATATTTGAGAGTAGAATAATTTCTAAGGAATTTTCTTTCTATGATTAATAATCATTTTAAAACTGATTTAGAAAAAAAATGTTTAAATTTGTTATTTTTAATTTTTATTTTTTATTTGGGTCTTATTATATTCATGTGCAAGTAATAAGGCCCAATGTCAGAGTTTAACGAAATATTTTTTTCGTTCATTTACACATATTCTATATAAACAATATATTTTATTTTTGGAAGTGAATGAAATGAAGATTTGTTTCTCACTTACTTTATTTCAATATCCCCATAAATATAATTTTAAAAAATAAAATAAATCAGTTGGGCCTTATTCGGCTCAGATACCTTAGTAGGGAAGAGTCTAAATCGGACCTATTTGTAGTTTTTGCTCTCTATAAGGCGTAAATAAAGTCCGATCATAAAACCGAAGGTGCCATTGGAAAGATCATTTAATTCCCTTTATTTTTGCTTTATACCATTTTAACGTATCTCTCACCTGTGTTGAACTATAATGGAAAATGTAAAAACGCTTTTTTCGGTCCGATTTGGAACCATTGGTCTCTAAAGGAAGTTTAAAACTTAAACTTAACTTCCTTTAGAGACTCATAGATAGATTCCATGATTGAATTTAACAAAAATACATGCTGTCTCAAATCACCTACACTTGTCCCAAGTCACCCACATTTACGGTAATTTACAAGTATTTTCTTTTTTAAAAAAATTTTCGCACGATGACTGAAAATACATATTTGCATCTATTTTATGAATGTTATGACAGAGAACTGTTAAACTGCTATTACATGTTCGGTGTCTTATAAGGACTTTACATTATAAATAGTACGCAAATCTGCTTAACCATATTATTCATCTAAATTAAAAAGGTTCTATTTGGAACATGATCCGATTTAGACCATTCTCCCCTATATGTATTATATATAAAACTGTATATAATTCTATTAAAATGTTGTTTTTACTTATGTTAGTTCTACATTAAATGATTATGTTGTAATCATACATTACAGAATGTAAACAAGGAATGTATTTTCATCTTTGTAAGTCCTGTGTTTTCAAAAATTTTATAAATGGTGCTGCATTCTTCTCATTACTATTTTCATTCTTATTTTTTTACTTAATTATTTGAATTTTTCACATTTTCTTCGTACATATTGCGTATCATGCTGCTTACAGGCAGTGTATAATACTGTACACAATTGCATCCATTTTACATCTGCTTTTTTGTAAATATACAATAGAATGTTACATATATTTTCCTAAACGTGTGGTCTAGTCATTGCAATATTTACGTCATAATATGATATGCGACTATGCTTTCAATTTAGCGATAGTATCGTGCACACTCTCTATTATACTATATATGTACGGACGTTCCATCGGATTGACTTTTAACATCAACAAAATTAAATTTTGCATATCCTAAAACAGAAACATATAATTTATTTATGAAAAAATTTATACTGTACTGATAGAAATCTGTCCATGAAAAAGGTGTAAATTTAATAAAAACAATTAAACAAAGATTTTGAATGTGTGCGTGCGCACCTGCGTGCATATGTGTGTGTGTATGTATTCAAATTGCGCGCTCTTTTCATTCAAGATAAAAAATGAATCATAAAAATATTATTTGTTTGTAAAAATAATCATGTCATTTAACAAAATAAAAATTGAATTAAAATTGTATATAAGTTGTAATGTGCAAAAGTTTAAGTATATTTGTCAAATATATTACCAGAATTATTATAGAAAAATGTATTTATAATTTTTTAAACTTTTATAAAACAAAGTACGATTTTATTATATTTATTTTCTATATACAATTCGATATTTTATACATTATAATTATATATATATATATATAAATAATTAGTTTTATAAAAGTTAAAAAAATTTTAAATATATTTTTTGATTTGTCAATGTAACTTATATATATGCATATATAGTGTCCCATTTAAAATAATGCATTAAGATATCTTGAAAACTATGGTAGATACGGAAAAATATCTCAAACAAAAGTTGTATGGTTCGGAGGGGGACATAAGAAGGTACTATTGATTTTGAGTGACGTCGCTAAGGCCAGGTCAAGGTCACGTCGATTTTTTTAAATGGAACCCCTTATTTTACATTTTCTTGTAGCTTACCTCAAGTGCTTTTCAAAACATTATAATAAATATTTTTTCATTAAGTATTTTTCGAGTTATAAGGCTCGAAAGTTAGAATACAGCCGGAAAAGTCCTAAAAAGGTTGGGATACCTGAATATCTCGGAAAATATGAATTTTACAGAAAAGCGTTTCAGATAAAAAATTGCAGGGTTCAAAAAGATTTATTTACTGATCTTATCAGTTTGACCATGGCGTCGCCAAGGTCAAGATCACATCGATTTTTTTAAACGGCACGCCCTTTTTTGATTCTAGAATCTGATAGCTGGTCTCAAGAGCTTTTCCAAACACTACAATCAAGTTATATTTCATAAAGTACTTTTCGAGTTATAAAACTTGAACGTTACAGTACCGCCGGCATTACCATTACGCAAGGAAACCGACCGATGACTAAAACCTTTTGAATGTTGTTCAGAATCATGTCCTGGATAACATTCGTTAAGATCAAGGTCATTGGAGATTGTTTCTCTTATTTTCATTTTTGCACAGAAAATTCATTTTTATGTAAATTCAACAATCTTTAGTAATTAATATCTCGTTAACTATTGCGAAATGGTACAAGACTTTTCGACTCAATTTAGTCCGCTCTATCTATACAAAAGCATTTGGCAGAAACTTACAGGACACTCTGTATAAATACATAACTGTGATCACGGTTTTTCCGGCACTTCCAATGATCCAACAAAAATTATTTTGAATAAAAGTTAGTCTCCAATCGGCTACAAGTTGCAATATTAAAAATTTGCAAAATATTCCTTTTTAGGAAAAAATCAAGGTGTCACCCTAATTTTTTAAAATAGTACTACGTATTTTTTACTTCATAATATTGGAACTGATGTCAATATGAGTTCAATGACCTGCTATACTATATATGCAAACTTGTAGCCGATTGGAAACTGACTAACTTTTATTCAAAATAATTTTTGTTGGATCATCGGAAGTGCCTGAAAAATCGTGATCACAGTTACGTGGAACAGCCTGTATAAGTTACATTAACAAATCACGATTCTCCTGCATACATTCTCAAATGATTTTATCTTAGCGTTAACATCTGAATTCATAGAAATATTGGGTCGGAGAAAAAATTCTGCGATATTTTGTTAGCTCAAAATTATATAGGATAGTTGAAAATTTGCTCAAATTTTTTTTAGGCACTCAGCCTAATTTTTCTAGGCACTCAGCCTAAAAATTTTTTTTTAGGCACAGACCCACAAAGTAGAAAGAAAATTTTTCATTCTTTTCAGCTCGTAATTTTCTATATGTAAAAATTACAAAATTCACATAAATTTAGAAAATATAGTAACTATTCGAAAGTGGAGATTTCAAACTTTAAACTCTTTTAAATTTAAATTTTAATCGTTTTTAATGAAAATATTGTATATACAATTTTGAGCTAAAAATACCGCAGAACTTTTCCTCCAACCCAATATAATTATTAATATAAAGCAGCGTCACACCATAGCAGCGTTGAGATGCCAAAAAAAAGTCAGTAGTACTTCTAAATTCTAAATTATAAAAACATAAGACTACATAAAATATATGTGATTATATAATAAATACTATCACATACATATACATTGCTTCAAAAAATTAGGGGCACACTTTTTCAATAAATTTTTGCCTATTTTTAAACTGTAGTTATTTAGCGAATAATTAACGTAAAAAAAAGATTATAAAAAAGTATTTTACTGAGCAAACTCTCTATTATAATCTTTTGTTCAATTTTGACTCAATTTAATATTCAAAGGCGTGGTCAGCTTTGGATAAGAACGTATTTGAGATATCTAGAATCTTGAAATTTGCAGTCTTCCACCGACTAATAAAAAAATTGACGAACATAATCATTGATATCATCTCAAAGTATAGACTTTGCACTTTCAAATAAAAAAACTTTTTCCTACGCCGATTATTTAGCGAGATATAATGATTTAAAGTTGTTACTACCTGATTTTTGCGCGGCGATAGCCCCTCGATTCTAATAGGACGGCCGCAAAAAAGATTCGCATGGGGAGGAAAGAATGCAAGAAACTAATTTTTAACCAAATTATTATTATTTTAAATGTATAAAAGTACAAAAAAGTCTTTATTGTGATTGCAAAAGAAATCGTAGGAAATACAATGCAAATTCGGAGAATTCTTAGTCGTTGCAAAAAGTGATCGGAATACTGGTGAAAAAGAAAAACAAATAGAACCATGCTGTTCGCGGTGATGGTGTGCGTGCGTGTAAGCGTGGGTTACGTTATAATATAATATGTACGTGTATTTGTTTTCGAGTTAGTTTCGGGTATCGCGTCTGGCTCTTTAATACTTGCACATGGCTATTTCTCGGCGCGTGACAGATACGGGCATCGGTACGACGCCGCGATACCCGATACGCGTATCACCGATTGGTTCTCGCGTACGCGATCACACACCAGCGGCGAATCGCGGTGACTAACCGGCGGCCGAAAACACGCAGCGATACAGAGTATCGCACTTGGTAGTTTTCGACGGAAACGGTGGTTGCTGTCATCTGAAATTATGTTCGCTTTTGAATTAAAAAAAAGTACGGTCGCATCGCGCTTTCATTACTGGCATTGGCCAGGGGGACCGATGCAGTGGCATCCGGTCAGTTTCCTTCTGGAAACGATGCATTTGGAGTGCATCGTTATAAACCCCTGATTTTTTATGATTTCAGCACGATACCGCTGGCATTTGCGTAAATGTGTACCACAAAGAAGTTGCTCATTGTCAGTCATATTTTGGAGATCCCTGGTGAAAAAATGTCTCTGAAAATTTCGCTGCAAATGCCTGAAAACATTTTTCAGAGATTTTCAGTAACACTCAGAGACTTTCTCAAGGAAATTTAGGGATTATCAGCGATTTCTCTGAAAATTATTTCCAAGTGTCTGAAGGTCTCTGAATTTCACTATGAAACTCGGGATTCAATAATGTCTCTGAAGATAGAATTTTCGTGGTTTCTGACATTTCAGAGACTTTCAGTGAATTCTCTGAAAAAATAATTTCCAAGTATCTAAAAGTTCTTGAACTTCGTTGAAATTCGAGAATTCAATGATATCCCTGAAGATAGAATTTTAATAGTTTCTCACTTTTTAAAGGCTTTCAGAGGATTTCTTTGAAAATCATTTTCTGCAGAAAGGGTCTGAAAATCCCTGAATTTCGCGGGAATTCAATGATGTCTCTGAAATTTAAATAGATAATAAATAACATACTTATCAATTGAAAAAATGGTGTAGCACGTAACGCAGAAAAACTCATAATCCAAAAGTCCCAGGTTCAAATCCTACTAGGTAAGTGTTTTTTCAAAATAATTTCAAGAGAGTAAAATCATTACATATATTTTGTATAGAACAACTTCTGTTAAAAAAAGAAATAAAATTTATAAATTTTAAAATATGAATTTTTTTCGCGTATCTCATTGAAAATCTCTGAAAATCTTTGAAAAATTCTGAAAGTCTATGAATATAGTTTAAAAAAATTTATGAAAATATTCATAAACCACTGAAATATTTTAACAAATCTCTAAAATTATATACTGAAAAATTCTTTGAAGAACTCTGCAATGTATCCGAAAATAAGGACATTTTTCAGATTTTTTCAGAGAAATTTTCGGAGAAATTTAAAAAAGTTTTTTCACCAGGGATCGTGTATGTGCATGTGTGCGCAAGTGTGTGTATATGCATGCGCACGTGTGCGTGTGCGCGCGCGCGCGTGCTTGTGTGCATGAAGTGTACATGAGTATGTGTGTACATGCAGACCTTTTTTCTATATTTTCTTAATAAGAAGAAACTCGTGGATATCGGATTACACAAACGCCGGCGGTATTGAAATCATAAAAAGTCAGTGGTTACTTTAAATCATATCTCACTAAATGATTGGCGTAGGAAAAGGTATTTTTTGTCATTTGCAGATTCAAAGTCCATACTTTGAGATGGTATCATTGATTATGTTCAATTTTTTTGTTAGTCGGAAGATTTCAAATTTCAAGATGTTAAGCATCTTAAATACGTTCTCATTCAAAACTGACCACATTTTTGAATATTAATTTGTGTAAAAAATGAACAAAAGCACCTTATAGTACAGAGTTCACTCTCTAGAATCGTTTTTAATCTTTTTTTACGTTAATAATTCGCTGAGTAATTAGAGTGTAAAGATGGACAAAAATTTACTAAGAAAAAATAGTACTATTTTTTTGAGCAATATGTATTCATACACATATATATATATAAATAAAAAGTTAAAATTTCTTATAAATTCCTTAACAGAGAGAACATTTTTGTTTTAGTAAATAGATTTTAGTAAATATAGATTTTATGTAAATAGATGTATTCGTAACTTCCATTTCAGACAGTATTAGAAGAAAAAATTTTTTTGAAAATGTGATAATATCCCACATAGCACGGAACATCATTAGAATATTGTTAGAATATTTCAAATGTCTTCTATAGAATATTTCATTTGAAATATTTCTGCATATATTTAGAGATATTACACGTAGAATATTTTATTTGAAATATTGTACAGACACATTTCATTTGAAATATTACATTTGCAATGTTTTCTTGATGTTCTGGACTCGTTTCGCTTCAAATTTTTCTTTTTTTATATGGATTCTGGGAAGGGGGGTGGCACCCATTGTTTTTAAATGATGATCCATTTAAGAAAAGCTCACTATTAGTGAGATCCCCGTCAAGTAAAGACGCATCAAAAAAATCAAATCATCCTAAAGAAATAAATGTGAAAACTATCAAGCTAAAGCTGCAAGCACATTATAAGAAACCAAACTTAAAAACTAAACTTAAACTCACGTGGCAAGTCGTAAAATATATTTTAAAGTAATTTTGTGTTTCAAATAATAGAAAAGAGATACCATTTTTCAAATTTCTTTTGTTAACTTTTTAACGAAGGACGACAGCCATCTAAAACCTGTCGGAAGTCACTCAGAGCCATCTTGACAACATATGTCAAGGTCAAGATCATCAGCGCAGTGTCCTTTAATCTGAATCTAATTACCAAAGTCATTTTTCTCTTCAAGGAGCACATATACAAGTGCGTACACTTGACGCCTTTCTTTTACCTTTTTGTAATTTTGGTGTGATGTCACGCATTTTGTATTGTTAACCGTATTGCAGCACTAAGTTTTTTTTTATTGTAAAAATTCTTTACTTGAAATAAATTTTTCAGTTATACTTTTACTTTTTTGATTCCTTGTAATTTACTGAGTTGGAATGGAAAAGTATATATCTCACTTGTGTTGAAATAGGAAGACCTTTAAACGAAAATAAAAAGATATGCATCACTTAGATTTTATTTTTAAGAAATAAAGATTTGTAAGAGATTTATTATAGAATATAGTTCTTTTGCATTCCGATTTTATTTTTTAAAAGAAGTAGTACTTCAATGTTTGAAAAAAATGTGTATTATGTTAGTAGTTGACTCAATTTAGAGATTATTATCATATATTTTTTTGAAAAAATTATATATTTGAATTGAATAAAATAATAAAATTTTCTAGTATCATTTTTTAAATAAAAATATAACAGATATTGATATGAACATTTTAACATCCAAATTTTTACTTGTATATGTATTTAATAATACTTTAATAATAAAAAATCTAAACTGCGTTTTCAGTTTGCAGCTTTAATCTTTTTTCATGATGTGTTTCTTTAAAAATCTGTAACACATTAATTTTTCAAGTCATTTAGATTCTAACACTACTAAATCACTTATTAGTATGATACTACATATTAATTTTCGACTTCTATTGTAGACTCCACGTTCCTTTTCACGGAAAAGAGAAATTTTGGTTGATTTTCTTATGCCTTATGCATTATGTATTATGCAAAAGTCTGTGCTGCGGCTATTACGGTAACGATATATTTTCACGAAGCGATGCCACGAATGACAGCGATTTTCTGATAGTTTTCTATCGATATATCGATACTAGAGCTAGCGAAACCGTAGATAACCGTAGTGGAAGAAGACAGGTGAGACAACGCGCATAACGGCAATTCAGAGCAATCTGCACGTCCCTCAAGTTGTCACACAACGGCCAATCAAATTTAGATCCTAAATTTTGTCCTACTGCGTATCCCTCCCGTTTGTAGGGTACATAGACAATAAAAACACTTTAATTATATAATTTAAACCAGAGTTGTCCATCTACTCAGAATCGATCAACTTTTAAGCATTCTCAGTGATTCGATAATCTCGGGTGCTTGCAACTCACTGGCTCGCATAGACATGGGGCGGTCTCGCGCTAGCTACACTTGGCGCGAGACACTACTGTGTCTCTTGATTAAAGAACATTTTCCAGCATATTATAAAATGTTTTCAGAATATTGCCAGGTGCGGATATAAGACATTCTACTGACATTGTCAGAATGTTTCTGAGATCATTACCAGAATATTTCAGATTTCAAATGTATTCTGACGACATTCTGGTGATATTCGGTGCTGTGTGGGATGCTGAACATGTATTAAACGTTTAATAATGTAATTTAAAATAAAGATAAAGGAAATCCTCAAGATTTAAATTTTATAAAAGATGCTTCATGTTCAATTCATCTATTCACATATTACTATTCAAAATAAAAAGAAACAAAATTTTGAAATTTAAATCTATGAAGCATGAGATAAGATACTAACAGTGGCTAGACCTAAAAGAAGTATAATATATAATAGATTACAACCTTATTATACGGGGTATCTTCTGGAAACTTTACGTGTGCACTCATCACAGCAAGAGCTACACTGTCGCCTCGTTCGTAAACAGTATCAAAAGGAGATTTAAAATAACATAATGCATACAGTATACATCCCAATGACTAAAAAAGGTAAATATTACATTCAAAGCATATGTCGTTTACATTAAGATAAGCGTAAAAGCTTCTTACCCAGATATCTGTTCGTTCATCAACCATACAATAACTTTCAACATTAAATAGTTCTGGAGCTCTATATGGCATGGAACATCTTTCAGTTGCCAAGTCCTGTAAAGTCCGTGCAGCTTGAGTACTGCATACTTTAACTCTGGCAGTTGCTACAGAACCTAAAGAATTATTTTATATTTAATGATAAATTTCATATATATATTTGCTAACTATACTAAACATAATAAAATTTAATAGAATCTTCTTAGCATAACAAGCTAAGAAAGGGACTTGGTTCCCACTTTTTATCTTATTCTCACACATCCATCTATACTTTATGCTAGCTAATTTTTAAATCTAACATACCAATCTCGATGTGCATACAATATTTTATCACGCATGCGTTATTCCTATCTTATGTATATCTACAGAGGTATATCTACAATATACCTCTGCTTATCTCTTCCTTATCTCTTCCTTGTCTCTTTTTATTCTGGCTTTTCTTTCTTTAAGAATCTTATAATCCTTCTCCCTTTAGTCCTATCTAGTTCTAACTTTTATTTGTACGTGGAATCATCTATTCCAGGGTTGTATAATGGGTGCATATTTCGTTAGGACTAAAATATAGACCAGATACAAGAGCTCACTGAGCGCTTAGTCAGCAGTTGTAGTACTGAATGCACCCATTAAATCTCATTAATCCTTGTTAAATCAAATTTAGGTTGTCTACAATGCATTCTTGCTTTCTTAAACACTATAACTTTCAATATAATTCATAATGGTATAACTTTTTATTTTTTCGTATTTTGAGTTATAACTTTAGGAAAATAATCTTAAGATTTCATATTATAAGAAAATGCAAAAATTGAAAAATCGATTTTTTTTTACTCACCTAGGTATATGTAACCCCTTAAGTCTTGAGCCATAAGAAATTGACCAATCATCGTCGATTATTTTTCTTACATTTAATTGTGACTGGTCAATTTTTTATAACTTAAGACTTAAAGTAACAACTTAAGTAACAACTTATTGTGGGAAGCTCATGATTGGTCGATTTGCTTAAGTTTCATGTCTTAAATTCCTCTTCTGTGTCATGGCTTTAATGTGCTGCCTTCCTGTCCTTTTCTAATACAATTAATTTTCCTTACCTGCCTTACTTATGTCTTTTCGCTATCTCTATAATCTTAATCCTTTCTATAATCTATTCCTTTAATACCCCTATTCTACCTTCCTACTTTGTAGCTTACTTCTCCTATGCTTTTTCTATCTCAATATCTTCCTACCAATCTGATTTACTCATAATTATCTTACCTACATAATTTATTGCTCTGAAAACATCAAAAGTGTTTCATCTGTTTTCAAACACACATGCTTTCACTCATACTTCCTAACTAAGTCCTTAATAAAATTTAATATACCCAAGTCCATAATAACAGGTATTCCAACATCGTTAAGCACTATATTTGCAGTTTTTAAATCTCTATGAGCAAGAGGTTCTGGTTTAGCTTCATGAAATGCTTTTACGCCTTCACATATCTGTAAAAATATGCTGAGGATATCTATAGGATTCATATAATCACAATTCTTTGCTCGTCGTTCCAAATCATTTGCTAATGTTCCTTTCTAAAATTACAATAGTATCAATTGGTTCATTATAAAATGTATTACATTTAAAATATTTTTAAACAATCATAGTTACTTACATGATAATATGGTAAAACAATTAATATTTCGCTCGTTGTATTCACAATTGGATCTGCGGTACCTTTGCAAGTTGAATCTATACATTCTATAACATTTGGATGTTTTATCAATTTATAATATTCAACTTCTTTTGTTGCTAATTGCTGATCTTCTGGTCCATGACAAACAATTTTCTTAATAGCATACTTTTTATGTGTGATGATATCCTCAACTAAAAGTACTGTGCTAAATCCACTAGAAGCATAATGTAAACTTTATTTGTGCTACCAGCTATCACATATTTTTATGATTATTAATTTTTCTATAAAAATAACAAGATACTGTAAATATTATATTTTACATAAAGAAAATCCTGTTTTTCTTATATTGAATAAATTTAGATATAATCATTTAGAAATAATCTTATGTACACACTCTCTCTATCATAAAACATGTATTACATATGCAATAACTTATGTGATTATCAATAAGTATATTTTAACCATAAATAATCGTGTGTGAGTTGATTAATATATACTTGCCCATCTCCAAGGTGTTCACAGACTTTATATTTCCTCGAGTTTACCGTAATGATTTCTTTAGTGCATATACAACCCATTCTTAAAATTAGATTTAAACCTAAACTATTCATTCTCGTCGTTTATTGTCATTGTAATAAAAACAAAAAAAAATTTCACGAGATTATTTCGCTATTTTCATTTCTAAAATGTTAACATTAGATGTTTTCCAATTGTTTAACACATTTTAACACAAAGTGTAGCATTGTGCACGATTCAATTGGAACGGAACAGTTGCTTTCCATTTACACCGATTCTCAGATAATTCTCACTTGTGACGTTGCAACCATAGACATATATCTCTAGATTGCGCATTGTCAGAAAATTGAGGAGTGGTAGTCCTCATTGGGTGCATCAGGTGCATTCAGTACGGCCGGAATCAGACTACGCATTGAATATTGAGATTGAAGACTGAAAGATTGAAATTTGACCAATCAAAACAATAGGAGCTAAAATTCTTTTGTCCTCACTGGTCAAATTTTAATCTTCAATCTTCAATCTCAATCTTTAATGCGTAGTCTGATTCCGTTACTACAACCGCTCACTGAGCGCTCAGTGAGCGCTTGCATCTTATTGGCATATTCCATTAGAACTAAAAATATAAACCAAACAGATACAAGAGCTCACTGAGCACTCAGTGAGCGGTCGTGGTACTGAATGCACCCAATGCACCCATTTAGTACTACTACCGCTCAAGCCCAAAGGTTTGTTCACGTCGCAAGCTCCAGTATACTCCAATATGCTTCTACCATAGCTCCTACTCATTCTACCAAGCGCGTTGGAATGAGTAAGAGCTATCGTAGGAGCATATTGGAACATGTTGAAGCATGCGACGTGAACAAACCTCCTATTTCCACCGAGGGTTAGAATTGGGTCAAAGTACAAGAACTGACCAACCACAGTCAAGCATTCCCTTGTCATTCTACCGTAACAGGGGAATACTCGACTCAGCTGGGCGATACGGGCAGTGGTATGAAAAATATTTCTTACGCCACTGTAAAAATCGCCTCGTTGATTGGTTGCTGCTTCTGCTGCTTGATGCTTGACGCTTGCATGTGAATGGCTACGTTTACACCGCGCATTTAGGCCGCGGCCTATACAAAAGATGTCCTTGTTTATCCTGTAGATTAAACAAAGACGTCTGTTGTATAGGCCGCGGCCTAAATGCACGGTGTAAACGTAGCCAATGCACCTTTAGAGTAAGTAAAGGTGTATTCACATGCAAGCGTCAAGCATCAAGCAACGGAAGCAACAATTGAAGGGATTTTTTTGTTATTTTTGAATCACTGACTTATTTCTTATTTAATATTTTAAATAAGTTTCAGGAAACTGTTTTATATTTTTTTGTTCGGAAACTGTTTTATATTTTTTACTTCAAACAAATCGTATCAGCTTTTTCACCGATTTCTACGCGATTTTATATTTTAAGTAAGTTTCTGGAATTTATTATATAGTTTTATTTTAAATAATTCGTAACAGTTATTTTACCGAGCCGTTATCGGCATTGTACAATATATACATAAGTTTAAAGAATTTCTGAAACACAGAATAATTTGCAGCAATCGTAGCGTCTCAAATTAATTTTTTAGCTGAAAAATTAAATAACGTTTAACAAGATATTTAATACTTTTAATCAAAAAAGCTGTATTTAGCGCAAATTGTTTCAATGCAATATTAAGAAAATTTGCGTGTATCTTTGTGTAAAGAATGTAAGAATATTATCAACCTTTATTTAAATATGAATCTCTCATTATAAAAAGAATAATAAAAATTGAGACATAACGTTGAAATATCAAAAATATCACCCACGCGAATAATTACAAATTACGTTTTCATTGAATAAATCGTGAATATTTTTTCATACGCGACGGTTGGATGTCCGAACGGCGAGCAGTGAGGGGGGGCCGAGCGCCAGCGGAATAACGAGGAGTGGGATCGCGTCGCGCGGCGCGGTGGCGGACTACGTCGTCATTTCGGCATTCGCTCGACGATTTCGGAGGAAGACCTGTACGTTACGAGTCGCTCCGGATTTCGCATTCATTCATGCAATTCATTCATTACAGATAAGGTAAATGTCCCAATAGCCGGACATCTGTTTAAGCGTTAGATTCTCATAATACAATTTATAATAGTAACGTACATATATTACGAGATAAAAGTAAAGTAATATCTTTTACATTTTTAATATTCTCTAACAAATAGACTTTATTGCATGTTTTTGCTTTACTTCTTACATTCGTTACGCACACATTCAGCTCATGAATATTTTGAATATTTCAATCATGTTATAATAAGCGATTATTAGTTTGTAATAACTTTTCGTTACACGAAATCCGCGCAATGTTCTGAATATTTTTAACAAAAGATTAACGCATTGAGAGTTATTCTAGTTAAAGGATATGCACGCATTCTATTATTTATTTAAATATTTTAATTAATAATCGTTATAAGTGGTTTCAAATAATGTTTCCTTACTTAAAAGGGAGGTTTTATATTAAAAACCTTTTTGATATAAATATTCGTATTCATTTGAAAACTCAAGACTCCCTTTTAAGCAAGGAAAAATTATTTGAAACCACTTGTAACAATTATTAATTAAAACATTTAAATAAATAATAGAATGCGTGGATATCCTTTAACCAGAATAACTCAATGCGTTAATCTTTTGTTAAAAATATTCAGTACATGGCGCGGATTTCGTGTAACAAAAAATTATTACAAACTAATAATCATTTATTGTAACACGATTGAAATATCCAAAATATTCATGAGCTGAGTGTGTGCGTAACGAATAAAAGTAAGAAGTAAAGCAAAAACCGTGCAATAAAGCCTATTTGTCAGAGAATATTAAAAATGTGAAAGATATTACTTTACTTATCTCGTAATATATGTACGTTAATATTTCGACAGTTAAATGATCGGCATGCGACCTTGAGTTTGCTTGCTGGCGGGCGACGCGTCACGCAGCGCGTCACGAGGCGCATCACGCGGCGCGTCACACAGCGCGTCACACAGCGCGTCACGCAGCGTGTCACGTTTACGCGCAGTTACCGCGCAGTCATTCATTCCCTTACCGATGCTCGTACAGGCAGGTAGCCGTGTCGCGTGCTGCTCTTCTTCACATTTCTTTTTGAAATCTTATCGCGAAGAATGTGAAATATAAAACGAAACGTAGTACTTTAAACGTAATACTCAGTATACGATTTCTAACTTTATTCAGTTTTGAAATAAAAATGCGATGGAAAAACAGAATTTATTGCTATTTTTATATAATTACGGACGACAATTATTTTTGTTTAACGTAAAATTTTTTTCTCGCTCGAATATAAGTCTCGATTATTCTTCGAACGGTGCCATCACATGTGCCATAAGAAAACAACGTTAATAAATACT